TCAACCGTGGCAAACAGTTCAGGTTTTGCTTATGATTTTCAGAGGCATAAGCAAGAAATGTCCCCAGTTCAAGATAGTCTTGCAACATAAGCTAAATTGAGCTTGTTTGAATGACTAAACTAGTTTTACCTGCTCAGGGAAAATCAAGGCTGGTTTCTGTTTGGTTTTGATTTTAACAATTCACCCCTTTTAGGAATTCTCTCAGCAGGCCAAGAGTATGACCAGCAGCATTACTCTTGGTTACCACCGCTGACCTAATCAGGTTGAAATATCTGATATTTCCATTGGTTGAATTGTCAGGCCAGAGAGCCATGAAGTCATCACCTTCATCATTTATGTGGTTATTGTTGATTTCATTCAGTTGTTTGATCCTGATAGACACCATTGGGCATGTGAGTGGCTGCTGACAGGCATTTAAAATCCTTGAGAGTATGTAACATATTAGAAAAATGAATGTGATGAATATGGGGAGAATAATAGCCAAGGATTTTAAAAAAATATATATTTTATTGATTTTTTACACAGAGGAAGGGAGAGAGATAGAGAGTTAGAAACATCGATGAGAGAGAAACATCGACCAGCTGCCTCCTGCACATCTCCTACTGGGGATGTGCCCACAACCCAGGTACATGCCCTTGACCGGAATCGAACCTGGGACCTTTCAGTCCGCAGGCCGACGCTCTATCCACTGAGCCAAACCGGTTTCGGCAATAGCCAAGGATTTAACCAACCAAATAAATCAAGTGAGTTTCAATTTTTTAAAACTTGTTTACATCGGCACAACATGCTGTATTAGCAAACATATATCCTCGTGATAACTTATGACGGGATGAACATAAGAATATTTTATTTCAGGAAATGGGTTTTAGGTGAGATTCCGTCTAAGTTAGGCCTCTATAGGTTGTGAGCAATCAGGTAATCTAATGGGAAAAAATTCCTGTGGAAACAAAAGTAAAACAAAGGTTAATAGTTTGAGCAAATTATAAATTCAGTTTCTGAGTTTGGAGAACAGCCAGCTGAGATGAATTCTAGATGCCGGGTTTGAAACTTCTTTAGATGGAGTGAGGGCAAGCAGTGCAATCTGATAGACTTTCTTGGTCTGCAGTTTGAATGTTTCTGATGATCTGAGTGGCCCACATAGCAATAGGCACAAAGATTGTCCACATCTCAGCTGTTCTAGCGGTCTCTCTAAAGTGAATACTCAGTTGTCCAGTTTTAGCTTGCATGGCTTTAGAAAAAGGGCAGTTTTAGTTTCTTAGTGATCCCAGGTCAAGAGAGAGGGAGAAAATTGGATGTTAGTCTGGAGAATTCTACCTAAATATTGGAGGAAACTAGAAGAATTCAGGATCTAGTATATACAACCTTGACAGGTCCTTTGGATAATGAGAGTATGTACCTCTTAGGACTGTTGGGAGATTAAATGAGTTAATATATGTAAAGCACTTAGAAGAGTACATAGCTTATAGTAACCATTTCATTTTTTTGGTTGTACCTGTCCATATTTCCAACACCATTTATTGAGGGGACTGTTTTGTTTGTTTGTTTTTTAGGACAAGGAACAGTTTATTCTCACGACTGAGCAAGGACGAGGCCACAGTCTCAACAGCAGCAGAGGCAGCCCCCTCTCAGCCTCAGCCCTTGCCTCTTGGTCTGGCAGCTGCAGGTGGGCCGGGTCATGATCCAGGGTGACAGCCAGGGCAGTAGCCCACCCGCCATGGGATCTGGGCTGGCCATGGGGCAGCAGTGGGCAGCAGCAGCAGGTTCCCAAGGGGGCGTGGAGTATTAGTTGGGCTGGCTGACACCCATCCTCCCATGGGTGGTGCTTGGTGAGGGTCTAGGGTAGCGGGGGGGCCCGGACTGCGAGGTGGGGGCACCTGGAGCGGCTCAGTCGGCTGTGAAGAGGCGGCTGGAAATGTCCTCTAGGAGCCAGACGATGCCGGGCAGCAGGTTATCTCCTCTGACAACGCTGCAGCCCTGGACGCACCAGTGGTGGCTTCGGATGGAGTCCACCTCCAGGGCCTCGCGAATAGTGTTAGTGCCCCAGGCAGGTCCTGCTTGTTAGCAAAGATGAGGAGGGTGGCTCCAGCCAGGCCTCCTCCACCAAAAGGCTCTGGAGCTCCCGCTGGCAGATGCATGCGCTGGTGGCTGGTGCTGTCCACCACCCAGAAGAGGCTGTCAGTGCTCTCAAAGCAGTTCCGCCGGTAGGACTGCAGGGACTTCTGGCCGCCAACATCCCAGATGTTCAGCTTGAATCCTCGGTGCTCCAGGGTCTTGATGTTGAAGCCCAGGGTCCGGGAGATGGTGTCGATGTCTTCTCCATTGAACTTCTTGAGGATAGTTGTTTTGCCAGCGTTGTCCAGGCCGAGCATGAGCAGTCGCAGCTCCCGCTCTTTCTGCTTCATCTTCTTCCGAGGAGACTGTCTGTAGGCCATTGTATGCTCTTGCCTCCTTGGTCAAATATTACTTGATCATAAAGGCGTGGGTTTATTTCTGGGTTCTCTGTTCTATCCCATTGATCTATATGCCTGTTCTTATGCCAGCACCAGGCTGTTTTGATTACAATGGCCTTGTAGTATAGTTTGATATCAGATACCATGATTCCTCCAACTTTGTTTTTCTTTCTCAAGATTGCTGAGGTTATTTAGGATCTTTTTTGGTTCCATATGAATTTTTGGAATATTTGTTCTAGATCTGTGAAATATGCCATTGGTATTTTAATAGGAATTGTGTTGACTCTATAGATTGCTTTGGGTAGTATGGACATTTTAATGATGTTAATTATTCCAATCTATGAACATGGTATATACTTACATTTGTTTATATCTTCCTCAATTTCTTTCTTCAGTGTCCTATAATTTTCTGAGTTCGAGTCTTCTACCTCCTTGTTTTAATTTATTCCTAGGTACCTTATATTTTTTGTTGCAATAGTAAATGGGATTGTGTTTTAAATTTCTCTGTCATAGTTCATTATTGGTGTACAACAATACCACCGATTTCTGAATATCCTGCTACTTTACTGAATTCATTTATTGATCTAGTAGTTTTTTGGTAGAGTCTTTAGCATTTTCTATGTACAATATCATGACATCTGTGAATAATAACAGTTTTACTTCCTCTTTTCCAATTTGGATGCCTTTTATTTTTTCTTCTTGTCTAATTGCTGTGGTTGGGACTTCCAGTACTATGTTGATTAAGAGTGGTAAAACAGACATCCTTGTCTTGTTTCTGATTTTAAGGGAAATGCTTTTAATTTTTGCCCATTGAGTATGATATTGACTGTAGGTTTGTCATATATGGCCATTATTATGTTGAAGTATGACCATTCTATTCCCAGGAGCTGGTTCTTTGAAAAAAAATAAACAAGATTAACAAACCTTTAACCAGACTCATCAAGAAAAAGAGAGAGATGATACAAATAATGAAACCAGAAATGAAATCGAGGAAGTAACAACAGACATCACAGAAAAACAAAGGACTGAAAGAGAATATTATGAGCAACTAAATGCCAACAAATTGGATGAAATGCAAGGAGCATAACTCTCCTCTTTGAGGAGAGTTTTTTTTTTTTAAATCATAAATGGATGTTGGATTTTATCAAATTCTTTTTCTGCATCCACTGGTATGATCATGTGATTTTTATCCTTCATTTTGCTTATCACATTTATTGGTTTGCGAATATTGTACCAAATTTGCATCCCCAGAATAAATCCCACTTGATCATGGTGTATGATTTTTTCAGTGTATTGCTGGATCCAGTTTGCTAATATTTTGTTGAGGATTTTTGCATCTATATTCATCAGGGACATTGGCCTATAATATTCTTTCTTTTTAGTGTCTTTATCTAGTTTTGGAATTAGGATATGAACTCCTAAAATGAGCTTGGGAGTCTTCCCTTCTCTTGAATTTTTTGGAATAGTTTGAATATTTGTAAAATTCACCTGTGAAGCCATCTGGTCCAGGACTTTTGTTTGCTGGGAGATTTTTTTGATTACTGATTCAATTTTATTAGTTGTAATAGATCTATTCAGGTTTTCTGATTTTTCCTGAATCAGTTTTGGAAGATTTAATACTCCTAGCAATTTGTCCATTTTGCCCAGGTGGTCCAACTTGTTGGCATTTAGTTGCTCATAATATTCTTTTTCAGTCATTTGTTTTTCTGTGATGTCTGTTGTTACTTCCTCGATTTCATTTCTGATTTCATTATTTGTATCATCTCTCTCTTTTTCTTGATGAGTCTGGTTAAAGGTTTGTCCATCTTGTTTATTTTTTTTTCAAAGAACCAGCTCCTGGTTTCATTGATCTTTTGTATTATATTTTTAGTCATTTATTTCTACTCTGATATGTATTCATTCCCCTCTTGTACTTACTTTGGGCTTTGTCTTGTCTCTAGTCTATCTCTTTCCACTTCATTTCTGTCTCCTTCACACCTTTGTTGTTTTTCTGACTCCTCTTATTTCCTATTGTTAACAGACAACCTTGGGAGCCAACTTAACTCTTTGCACAGTTGAGTCCTATGGCGTTATGCTCCTTGCATTTCATCACAAACTGGGGAGGAAAAGCTGTGACTAGATGTGTGTTCCCCCAAACCAAGGATCCTGAAAGCTTTGCTGAGTATGATGGGGTTGGCCTTGAACAGACATCTCGTGAATGTTGAAGAATTAGCCTGTGAAAGGTGCACAGAGAGATGATGGGGCTTTCACTTCCCTGACAGCCACAGAAATCACAGAGTGGGCTCTGGAAACAGGTTCTGAGTATGTGGGTTCCTTAGCCCAGTTTCTTACCCTAATCTCTGCTCTTCGGCTGGATCATGGAGTTTATTCATTGCTGGGAGTGGAAAACCAGAACCTGGAGAGGCACTGCGAGACTCACGTTGAATTCTTAGCTCCTGTTGCTTCCTTTCCCCCAGGACAGTGCAAAGCAAGGCCAGCTTTTCTGGGAGGTGACTTGTTTATCTTCTCTGGAAAACCACTCAAATACACGCATTTATTCACATTTCAAAAGCACTTTATTACCAAAATGAACAAAAGGAGAAAGGCATTTAAATTAAATAAATTACACAAATGTCTCAAGAATCCTGGCTTTCCCAGGAACCACAACATCACAGGTCTGTATCACTAAGAATATTTGAAAGTATTGAAATTCTGGATCATTTCACCACCTTCCCCTCCTTTCCTGCTTCGATCATTTCCAGGGAGTGGTCTATGTGAATCTGTGTTCTTTCCAAAGTATTCTAAAAATGAAGTTTTCTATAATATCTTTCTCCACCCCCCTGTGTTTCCAATTCCAATGGAACATGTTGTGGAATCCCTCCAAGAGCTCCAACTCCAGGCCATCCTGAGTCAGTAATCCCCATTAAGTCTGGGGCTGGCCTGGTGGTTAATGGCGACTTAATCAAGTCCCCAAGGATAGAAACATTTGGTTCAAAGGGGATCTCTTGACTTGGATGTCCTGAGACTCTGTGATCTTTTTCCACCTCCTAGGCCTAAGCTAGACTCTGAAGGAGGTGGAGTAGGGGAGGGTGAGTTGTCATTGGCTAAGGTCTTGTCTTCCTGGAATTTGGCACTTTGAGTGCTGGGCATGGTGAATCCCAGATAACATTGTCTTCTGCCTTCCAAGTTTTGAGCTCCATTGGCAGCCAGATGGCATAATAATTCACACAGAAGCAATGCTTGTAGGCCAAGAATCTGTTGGCTCTTTGTCAGTACCCACTCCTTTAACTCTAAGAAGACTTGCTAGCTGACTGGCTCACTCAACATACACACACACACACACACACACACACACACGCACACACACACACACAATGCAGGTCAGGCTGAAGTTAGGAATTGGTACATTTTTCTAGGCTGGGCCAGCCCAACCTGTTGGGCAGGGGTCATTAAGTTGAAGGAGCTTGGGAGAAGCAGTGGGGAGAGGCCAAAAAGTTTTTTTTGTGTGCACATCCATGGAAATTTCCCCAAACACTTGCTCATGAAACCTATTTATTTTTAACTCACTCCAGTTACCTCCTTATGTTCCTAGAGAACTTAACCCCTCTTCTCATCTTTCCTAGAAGGAGGTGGCTTCAGGTCCTGAGTTTGTTAAGGAACCCCTGTGGAGGAAGACCCAATCTGGGTCAGCCCTTCTCCATGTTCTGTGCCTAGGTGGGGGGTGTAGCTGGTCTTTGGGGGGGGCATTCTCCCTTGCTTGGCTGAAGGATTCAGGCCCCAAGTTGATAAGGAAGAGTTAAAGTCATTGGCTCTTGCCAAGTGAAGAAGGAGAAGTCAGATTTCCCAAGTGGAGGAGGCATTTCCCTGATGGGCTGTCAGGTCAGGGGGGACTTTCAAGGCTCACTCAGGTCCCACTAGTTTGCCCTAAGTTGGCACTAACACTCCACCCCCATCTCTGGTACAAAGAGGGAACCCCAAAAGCTTTTGTGCAGAATAACTGGTACCTATTGCTAGGTTGCCAGAGGATTCTGCCAGCTATCCTCCTCTTTCTTTTGGGTTCCTACTATCAAGTGGAAGGGAGCAGCCCCTGGGGGCAGGGGGAATGGTAATGTTTCAGGAAGCTGGGGCAGCTACCTTGGTGAACTGCTCCTGGGGAGGTAGTTCTGCTGGCCTTGAGGGCCCTGGCTACTCCCCAGGCTCGAGTCTGACGTGTTGAATAGCCTGGAGGTCCCAGCAGCCTGGAGGTGAGGAGGAGACTGTACAATCACCAAGACAGAGATTCCTGGGTTGTGGGGAGTACAAGGTCCCAGAGGAGCAGAGCTACCAGGAACAGAGTTGGGGCAGCTGGAAGGGGCAAGTGACAGAGTCCTAAGCAACTTTGTTCCTGTGTCTTGTGACAGCTTGGTGACACCATGTGACACCAAGCCATGCATGCCCAAGGACACTTCTGAAGCTTTCACTCCAGGTCAGCATCCACACTTTCCCTTCTGTTCTTGGTTCATGCTTCACGTCCAGCAGTCAGGGCCTCTGGTCAGCCGCCATGGAGAGCAAACAGGATGCTTGCTGGCCAGCTTTCCCTGCTTTTGAGACTGGCTCACTCTAGAGATGCCAGGAGGGAGGCAGGGTGACGAGAGAGGAGGAGGAGGAGAAGAGAGAGGAGCCGACATCCTGGTGGAGGTGCTGTCCTTTCCCTGCCATCTGCTGTGATCCCAGGCTCATCTTTCACGAAGTCCCAGGTGCCATGCGCTCGGGAGGCAGCCTGGGAACTGCTGGGGCTCACAGGGCAGTCAGAGTCTCTGCGTGAAACATGCTCCCGAACATCTCCTGCCGGGGAGGAGAGGGGAGTGGAGGAGCCACGTTAGACCCCTTGGGTTCAGAGTGGCTGAGGGTTGAGATCAGACAAGCTCTATAGTACTTTCTGGCTGATAAACTATTTTGGTCCTGCCCAACAGTTTGGAACATGCTGGAGATTCCAAGGGACCTGGAAAGCTGCCTGCCAAGCCTTCCTGGCTCTGGCTGCATTTCTCAATGTCTCCTGCATGCCATCGGCACTCCCAGAGGTGTGCTCAGAGGGCAACGGAATCCAAGCCCTCAAAGACTGGGAAGAAGCATGAAGTTAGGTGCTATTTCTATCTGGTTTCTTTTAATTCAGGGCCTCAGGACCAGAAGGCCCTATGGGGATAACCCCTCCCATCTGCATAGCTCTTAGCTTTTAAGGCCTGTCCACACGCAATAATATTGGTCCCGCTAGCATCTGCACCCTTAGAATTCACCTGACCCTCCCAGAATATAAGTTTCCTAAGGACAGGGGACTTTGTTTTGTTTATGCCCACTCTGAAACTGTATAGGCAAGCAGCAAGCACTCCATAAATACCTGTTGAATGAATGAAAGAACAAATGAAGCCCCTGCTAATTTTGTGAGGTAGAGGGGACAGGTATTACCCACATTTTTCTTATTTTGCAACGATAAAATCTGGGGCCTGGTGTTGTTATGTGGCTTGCCCAGGACCACGTGTGCGATGTGTTGGAGAGTTAAGAATAGCTATTAGTTCTCTAGGACTAGGTCCAGTTCCCCCCCTCTCCCCCGCCCCCCCACCGCATGCCTTTCAGGGAGTGAGAAGAATTAAGACCTGCTATTAAAAGAAAGATGAGAAAGAAACTTTGTTGACTTCAAGATGACTGTTCTGGCCTGGAGGTGAGAGAGCCCATTGAACACCTTGGATTTGAGAGGGTCTCCTTCCTTCCCCTTCTTCCCCTGCCCGCCCCCCCCTGCCCCTTAGCTCACCTGCTCTAAGTCCCAGTAGCTGGGGCTCTCCTCCTCCGAATCATATAAGGAGATCTCAGGGTCCACTGGAGCCTAGAGGGAAAAAGCAGTACAGAATGGGCTCTGTGACTGAGCCACACAGCCTGGTGCAGGGTGAGCTCCATGACTGAGCCACACAGCCTGGTACAGAGTGAGCTCCATGACTGAGCCACACAGCCTGGTACAGAGTGAGCTCCATGACTGAGCCACACAGCCTGGTACAGAGTGAGCTCCATGACTGAGCCACACAGCCTGGTACAGAGTGAGCTCCATGACTGAGCCACACAGCCTGGTACAGAGTGAGCTCCATGACTGAGCCACACAGCCTGGTACAGAGTGAGCTCCATGACTGAGCCACACAGCCTGGTACAGAGTGAGCTCCATGACTGAGCCACACAGCCTGGTACAGAGTGAGCTCCATGACTGAGCCACACAGCCTGGTACAGAGTGAGCTCCATGACTGAGCCACACAGCCTGGTACAGAGTGAGCTCCATGACTGAGCCACACAGCCTGGTACAGAGTGAGCTCCATGACTGAGCCACACAGCCTGGTACAGAGTGAGCTCCATGACTGAGCCACACAGCCTGGTACAGAGTGAGCTCCATGACTGAGCCACACAGCCTGGTACAGAGTGAGCTCCATGACTGAGCCACACAGCCTGGTACAGAGTGAGCTCCATGACTGAGCCACACAGCCTGGGGCAGAGGGAGCTCCATGACAGCCACCCAGCCTGGTGCAGAGTGAGCTCCATGACAACCACACACCTGGTGCAGGGTGAGCTCCATGACAACCACACAGCCTGGTGCAGAGTGAGCTCCATGACAGCCACACAGCCTGGTGCAGGGTGAGCTCCATGACTGAGCCACACAGCCTGGTGCAGGGTGAGCTCCATGACTGAGCCACACAGCCTAGTACAGAGTGAGCTCCATGACTGAGCCACACAGCCTAGTACAGACTGAGCTCCATGACAACCACACAGCCTGGTGCAGAGTGAGCTCCATGACAGCCACACACCTGGTGCAAAAGGCAGGCTTCGGTGGCACCATGTGCTCAGATGCACAGCTGCTCTCCTCCCCTTTCCTCCCCTCCCTCACCTGCTCACAAAACATAGCCCCGTTCTGCCTACACCAGGGCCTGCCCTCTGGGGGCATTTTAAAGGCAGGGAAAGTGTACTTCGCTTACACTGACAAATGACCAGCTGCCTGACTTCAGGGAATCTATTTCCCTCTGTTTCCTCATCAAACTCACTTTGCTGGCTTTCTACTCACCATGCTGTTGAAAAGGGTGTGGTGTGATTTATATACATGAATATATTCTGGAATATGTAAATATATTACATATATAAATTATTTTAAATATATAAACTGTAATAACTGGACATTATTTGCACAATAACAAATGATAAAGATCTTCCTCTTTTTTCTGCGTGGACAAGGTTCATTAACTGTGCTGCATAGTTTCTGTCTACGGGTCGAGGGCGGGAGCCAAGGTCTCGCGTATTGCTGGGCAGCCTTTCAGTCCCTAGGACAGATGGCTTCACCTTCATAAGTTTCTTAAAGCAAAGAGCATATTGTTGCTCTGGGGCCAGAAAAGGCTTTCCTATGACCCCCAGATGGTAGGGTCGAGTTTTATCGAGGGCTGGGACACAGAGTCTTGGGTGGCCAAGGACAGGGGCTGAGCTGGGAGGGGACTCTGGGAGGTGGGGGTTGCAGAGAAGGCCTGGGCAGGGACCCCAGTGGGGTGGGCTTTTTCTGCCTCCCCAGCTTTTTTGGAATTCTACAGTGTTATTTGTAGCTCATTTACATACCACTTACTGAGCTAGTAAATTAAATGTCAAGAAACTGAGATAAAACTCAAATCCAGTTTCTTCCTTCATCACCAGCCTGAAATCTGCAAGCTCTGTTAAATTAAAACAGGCAGGCTTACTCCCCTCCCTCCCCCAAACCTCTTCTAGCAGAAGGAGGAGGAGGGGTGCGCCATGCCAGAACATGGGATGTAGCCGAATTTGGTGTTTGTGTGACCGGACACTAAGTTTTTTTTCATCTTTCTTTTTTTTGGTTTTGTCCTTATCTGGATATTAATATTTTAAATATGTTTTTGTTGGTTTTTTTTAGAGAGAGAGGTAGGGAGAGGGAGAGAGAGAGAGAGAGAAACAATGATCAGAAACACCAATCAGCTGTCTCCTGCTCGCCTCCTGCTGGGATCAAGCCCACCACCTGGGCACAGGCCCTAACCGGGAATCCAACCAGCGACCTCTCGGTTCATGGGACAACACTCAACCAATTAAGCCACCTGGCCAGGGCTGAACATTAATATTAATAAAGATTTTACAATATACAAAGCACTTTCAAGTGATGTAAAAGATATTATTACCAGTTATTCCTAAAGCAAAAACAAAAGAAAAGGTAGGTAATGTTAGTTTTGGGTGTCCAATCTACAGGTAAGGAAACTGAGATTCGGAATTGGTTTTGGAGCACCCAACTTGTCCTGAGCTCTTTCTAATGCCCCCTGGTCCTGCCATTTCAGTGTCCTGGGGCCTGGGATCCCTCAGATGCCCGGACCTTACCCCTTGGAAGTCACGTCCTGGGGCCACTTCTCTGGCATTTGCCTGAGCAAAGAGAACTGCGTCGTGTATGCTGGGAAAGACGTGGTTGCGCTGTAGACACCCATCTTCAAAGACGCCTCCATGGCTAATGTCATTGTACACCTGAGCTGGAGGGAGGAAAAGACCACCTTCAGAACGATAACGGTCGTCGTGGATTGGAGCTGGGGGTGGGGAGATTGGTGAGAGGATAGGAGAGAGAGGCCTGAAGGTCGCTCTCCTGGCCTCCAAGGGCTGTGGCAATGACCTTGCAATATCAGTTCAGGACAGCAGAGGGCAACGTGAGCTTGAGGATGCTGAACCTTCAACCCAGGGCAGAAGGAAGCAGTTTGATTCAGGGAGTCGGTACTTTGTGGCCATCGGAGAGGGAGAGGCAAAAATAGTTCATGAGGAGGCTGCTGCCGGTTCTGTCTCCTGAGGGCCCTTCCTTCCTCCTGCTGCCCCAGGACTTTCCCGCAACTTCCGTGTGTGGCGGAGCTCCAGCTCCTACTCCTACCGGGTCTTAGAGCTGATTTCCCGAGGAGTGTCAGTGAGGCGGCAGGAACCTCTGGCTCTAACTCTGGAGCACGTGCCCAGCACATCATTGCCATCGCAGACTCCCTCTCCCAGAGCTGGGACATGCTCAGGCCGGTTCTGAAGGTGGACAGGCCCCCTGGAAGGGCTCTGACCCTCGGTGGGAAGCGGAGTGTACGTGTAGGTGTCCCTTCACATGCTCTTGCGTGTCTGTGTGTGTGTGTCTGTGCTGTGTGTTCATGTCCCTGCACTCCGAGGGTGTGCTAATGATGTGAAAGTCCACTGCTGTGTGGACATGCCCTCTGGCTGTGTATATGTGCCCTTTGGAGGTTGCATGCCTAGAAAACTGCATATCTGCATCCCCTGAGTAGTAATGATATATGTTTGATTTATTATTCATGGACTTTCAGGTTTAGAGAAGAACCCCAAATTCATCTAGTCAACCTCCTTATTTTACACTAGAGGCCCAGTGTACGAATTTGTGCACGGGTGGGGTCCCTCGGCCTGGCTGGCGATTGCCAATCAGGGCTGTGGGAGGTTGGCTGACCAGGGGGAGGGGCCACGGGAGGTTGGCTGTGGGAGCACACTGACCACCAGGGAGCAGCTCCTGTGTTGAGCATCTGCCCCCTGGTGGTCAGTACGCATCATAGTGACCAGTCAACCAGTCATCTGGTCGTTTGGTTGCTTAGGCTTTTATATATATAGACAGGTGACAATTGATCCCTAGACAGATAAAGTGACTTGGCCAAGGATACATGGCAAATTAGTGGTGGGGAAATTAGAATCCTAGTTATCTTTTCTTAACTCCACGATCTCCCACTCTGCTATTGAGATCCCTGGGATGTTTACACAATCTGGCCACAGTCTCTTCTGACTTGTGTCTGAAGCTCTCATGAGCAGGCAGTAGTTTGGGGGACCACATGGGTGCTCTCATTTCCACCCACTTCCTTGTTCAGCATCCCTCCAACCTGTTCCCACCTCACCCCCTCGCCAGTCTTTCGACCTCCTAAATGTCTCCTCTTACCATGAATGTTCACCAAGAAGACCTTCACACCGATCTTCCCATAGGTGGAGCTCAGCTAGAAGCATCGGGGTAAGGGGGGCAAAAGGAAAGGAATGTTCTGAGTGGGTCTCCAAAGTGATTCACAGAACCCATTTCAGAGGGGAAGCCAAACAAATAAGCAATCCTGAGAGCCCCGCAGCCACAGATAAAAATAGCAGCAAAGCACACCACTTCTCGCTGGAGTGTTGGCTCGAGGCTTCTCTGAAAAGCAGGGAGGAAGTGGGGCTTTGCCAAGGAGGCGGGCACTTAAAGTCACCACGGCCCCTTCTGATGGGGCCAGAGCTTTCTTTCAGTAGCTTAGATTCCCAGACTCCACCTCTTTCCCCACGTTGTGGCTTCAGGCAGAAGCTGCAAGGGAGACCCAAGGCCTGGGGAGGCGAGGGCTGCAGCCAAGGCCCACCTGGACTTCAGGTCCAGGCCAGGGAAGCAGGCCAAGCCCCAAGCTAGGGACGAGCTTTCGGGGTACCTGGCCAGTGGTGATGTCAGCCCTTATACTCTGTTCTCCTGGACCTGCGCCAGCTCTGAGGTTGGCTGACTCAGCCCTTGGAGGTGGTCGCTGAAAAGCTGTCAGGTGAATACATTTCTTCAAGGTGCCCTGTGGGCTGCCTGTTTGGCCCAAGGATGTGGGGCACTGATATTGTTTCTTCCCTCCTCAGCTGGCCGGGACTGGCTGATGCTGGAGTGTGTGGGTGAGTGTGGGAAGGACCAGCAGACCATGAACCAGGGCCAAGCTAGACTCCACTCAGAGGACCCTGGGGTGGGTTCCTGTGGCCTGAGAGGGAGCTTGCGATGGCCTCTGCTAGAGAGGGGTGCTGTGGGAGGGTGCGACAGGGGGGCCTGGACCTCTGGTCTCCCTCTCCAGCCACTCATTCATTGTCTTGGGCTGTCTGGGCCTGCTCTGCACAGAGCCCCTTGGCCTGGTCACGTCTGGGAGAAAGGGGTCCTTCGGGACCTTCAGTCCTATTGGTATGTATCCTCCCTCAGCTTATCAGAAAGAACGCTCCAAGCAAAGGGAGAGTGGGAGAGCAGGAGTGAGGGTGTGCACGGGGGTGCCCGGTGCTCCCTCTGCACAAGGGCCTCACCTTGGCCAAGGCTTTGATGCCCATTAAGTCCACAAAGCTGACCCCACTCATGTCGAGGATGAGGGTGTGGAAGGTGACGAAGGGCGGGACGCTGGCCAGCATGTCAATGGGCTCACGGGGGGTCTCGGCAGGGGCCGGTGGCTCGCAGTGGGAAGCTGGGGGGCTGTCAGGGCTGAAAGTGATGTAGGACACGCCGCCGCCGCCGGCGCCATTCGCAGGCGTCTGGTTGTTGTTGGGGTCGGTGGGAGCGGGGTTCTCAAAGTCCTGCTGGAGTTCCTGCAGGGAGACAGTCTGGAGGGAGGGGGTGGGAGATCAGCAAACTGAACCAGACTTTGCTGCGGCTCAAGCAGGGCCAGGGAGCCTGCGGGTGAAGGAGAGTCACTGAGCTTGATCCTGGTGAACACAAACCCCGAAATCCTCATGGGAAAGGCATCCCCCCAAACCCCCTTCCTTGGGCAGGGCCTGCAGCTTGGTCTCTCACAACCCAGACAAAGTTGGGGGATCCTTCCAAGGGAGGCACCGAAGCCACTGCCTACTTTATTCTGGGAGGGCGCCCTTTGGGAATAACTGAGCTCTTTTTTGCATTTTCCCATGCCGGCCTGTTTCTGCCTGTAACTCCCACACCCATCTCCACCGTGCTGTTCTGGGTTGGCTGGGAACCCCAGGAAATTCACTGCTGCTCCCCCTGCCCCAGGGTTGTTCATAAGTCCATGGGTCATATCCTATCTTAGACAGAGAATGGGGGGACATGGGAGCTGGTCTCCCCTCACCCATGGATAAGAATGGTCAATGGCCACCAAGCAATGTCCACAGAGACTTTTGTCTTTGCCTGGAAGGGTGCTGGGGGGAGGGGCACCAGGGTGCAAGATCCGAGAAGGCAGGAGAGAGCATGGCTGTCCCTGGCCTCAGCTCACCTTGGTTTTCATAAATAGAGACTTCCTCTGCTGTGTGGGCATCGTTCTCCCCCTCTCCTGCTTCTTGAGGTATTTTTGCTTGGCCAGCAATACTTTCTGGGGGTCCACACCCGTCTGTAGGGAAAGAGTCAACAGCAGGCTTGACCTCTCCCCTCTTTGAAGGAGGCCTGTCCTTGGCTCCCAGCCCCCTTTCTTCCACCTTCGGGTCACTCTCTGCCCAGCCTCTCTGGTCACCAAGGGACTGAGACTTACCTTGGCAATGACTTTTTGCCTGAAGATCTCTGAGTTGGCAAAGTAGAGAGGAGAGCAGTAAGTGACGATCTTAATCCCCTGGATTTCCCGGACCTGTGACAGGGAGACTGAGTTCAAGTAGCAGAAATGTCTTTATTGACTTTTTATTTAAAAAGCCCTCTTTTATTTGGGGGTGGGGGGAGGGCGGGGAAGGGCAAAAGAGGAAGTTCATAGGCTTGGATTACACACCCTATTGTAGGTCTTGGGATTCACATAAATGTCCATGTCCATGACCTGGGCCAAAGCGTAGCCATTTCGACTGGATGAAGAAGAAAAAAACGTAAGTGAATGCTAACCACGAATGGTCCTGGAGGGATATGGGCTGGGGGCTGGGGCTGGGGCAGGGGCAGGGCAGGGTCCCTTCTGCACCCCTGGGCTTGCTGTGTTTGTCCTTCGGCACTGGGGACACATGTCTGGTGGCTGAACTAGAACCAGAGGGATGACAGGCCCTTGACATAGCTCCCAGACTGGGGCTTAGTGGGAGAGAAGGGGTGGCGGTACACACGGTGACGAGCTTAAGTGGCCCTAAAGGCACTTCCTGGTCTTGAGTTCTCAAGAGGAGAAGGCAGGGTTTCCCTAACATTTAGCATCCTTCTTACCCTGGCCTGGACACCCTGGAATGTTCTGTTTAATCTTTTTATAGGAAGGACATGGCATCTGTCCTCTGGCCTCATATTCGCCTGGGTGGGGTCCCATGTGGTCTGGTGTCTGGCAGTGCCTTTGGAAGGACACTGAGTCTTACCCACCTGCTCTTCCCCTACTTTCTCCAGCCCCCAGCCCGCCAAGACCGTGGTGGCTTCCTCTGGGGTTTCCAGGATATGGGAAGTCAGGCAGCCCAGCCTGTGCCCACAGTCCTGCCTGGGTTGGGCTCTCCTCAGGCCTGGCAGCAGCTCCTGTGCCAGGCCCAGAAGGCAGCAGGGTTTGGTGGACTGGGCCAGGCCTCGGCATGGGAGCCCTTGGCAGGCTGGCTCGGGGTCCTCCCTTCAACCCCCGTTGTGTCTTGGGGAGGGCCTGTTACTTACAACTGGGTCTGGAAGACCACAACCAGGACGGAGAAGGCGACACCCACTGCCACACCATAAGGCAGGCTCAAGAAGAAGGAGGAGAGGAAGCTCACCACCCAGACGCACTGTGAGGAAAGAGATATGAAAGCAGACCTGGGAAGAAAACTGCCTCTTTCAGGAAGTCTTCCTGGATTTGCCGAGGTCATTCTCTGCCAGCACAACCCAGAGCCACCTTTCCACTTTCATGCCAGTTTTGCACTGTTTTATGTTTTGGTTACATTTGTCCCTTTCCCTTAGATTGAGTGTGGCCCCCTGGTCTTGTCTTGTTTTTAATAGACAAGCCCAGCACACCCAGGTCTTTGAGGGCATAATGATAAGAGCAAGAGTCTTGGGTCAGTCCTGAGTTCCAAGTTCCGTTCTCCTACTTCTAGCTATGTGAGCCTGAGATGCCTAATCCACAAAGGGGGAACAATAGTACCTGCTTCATGAAAGGATTAACGAGTTAAGAAACGTAGAGGTCCCAGCCTAGTGATGGGCACCCACTGGGTGATCGATAGGCATGAGTACCCTTTCTCCACCTCCCAGTAAGCTGTGAATGCCCAACACGGGCTTAGAGAGGCTTCCTGGCCTGATGGCCTGGGGGCCTGGTGGGTGGCGGGCAGAATTGGATTCAGTTTTGATTGTTAGCCCCTATGCTCCTTTAGAGCCCCCCAAATAGCTCAAAAGGAAATAAATCTACCCAATTCCATAGAGAATTGTGAGGAACAGATGGAAACCCAAAGCACTATGAATATTCAGGATTAATTGCCGTAGCCAGGGATTGCTGGGATGGAGTAAAAGCAAATCCGTGGGCTGGGAATTGGGACATCAATTCTCTCCTTTCCTCACCACTCACTCACTCACTCACTCACTCACTCACTCACCCGTCTCCTACGGGAGCCAGGTGGATCACTCACTTCTCTGGCTCCCATAGGAGACAGCCCAGCCCAGAGGTTTGGAGTCCAGCACTTGGAGTTCCAATCCTGACTCCACCACTTACTACCTCTGTGGCCTTGGACGAGTTACTTAACCTCTCTGAGCCTTGGTTTCATCCTCTCAGGAGGAGATTAGTAAGTCCTCTCTCATAGGTTACGGTGGGGCTTAAGTGGGGATAACACAGTGTCGCCAATACGTGGTCGCCTCCTTCCTACTGTCGAGTGGAGAACGTGACTAACTATAACGTAAGTCAGGTTTGTAGAGTTCTATGGTTACACGGTGCTTTCCCACCGTGATCTCATTTAATCTTCAGAACCAGTGTGTGACGCAGGCTTGACTGTCACCCCCACACGGATGAGGAAACAGAAGTCCAGAGAAGTCTGGTAACTTGCTTAAAGCCCTGCTCTGCTGGCTTTATGTTCTAGGGTTTTGTTTTTTTTTAAATGATTTCTTTTGCTTTTTTTGGAACTACGAATCAAAAAAATAATAATAGCTAAGTTTTATTGAGTACAGATACAGTTTGGACCAGTGGTTGGCAAACTCATTAGTCAACAGAGCCAAATATCAACAGTACAACGATTGAAATTTCTTTTGAGAGCCAAATTTTTTAAACTTAAACTATATAGGTAGGTACATTGTTATTAACTTAATTAGGGTACTCCTAAGGCTTAGGAAGAGCCACACTCAAGGGGCCAAAGACCCGCATG